CCCCACTCCCCCACCCCAAGACTCCAAAAGGCAAATCTCATCATCGGAATTAGAGAGAAAAAGCAATCCAAAGATACTGGTTTACATATTCCTTCCCAAACCAAGAAATCAAGTATCTCCCTCTCCCGGCTAATAGCTTATAAATTCAGACTTTAAACAAAAGCAAAAAAAAGAATCCTAATTCTCAAGCTTCCTACTTAGCACTGCCTCGCTGTTGATGATTTGTGCGGCTGTGTGTGCGTGCGTGTTTGAGAAATGGCGAGATAGGCTTAAAGTATTTTCCATTTCATCAAAGAGCATATATTACTTTCCTGGTTCGCTCAAATGTTGGTTTTATGCCCACCCCTTTTCAATCTGCCCATGTCTGAGATGCACAGTGCAGGCGTACAATCATGAGCAGCTTACGACACTCAGTGAACACTAGGTGCCTCTGCATGCTCTAGCAACATACTGCTCAGCTGAAGGGAAGGGATTCTTGCTGTCTCTCTCTGCTCTAAGCATCACCTAACAAGCAAAGCGAACAAAGAATGGGAAATAAAGCTACCCTTAGCCGGTCAGTGAATGAATGGTAATCTCTCTATGGAGTAAAGGTTGTGCTGGTCAATGGTCGTTGCAAATGATGGACATTAAAGAGATTGACAAATCCTGTGGAGTCGTTAGTAAAGAGTTTGGAGTTTTTTTCACGCCACAGTGTTAACTGCAGAGAAAAGGACAGAGGGAGAAGGAGAAGATCAAGCTCATGTACATAGTTCTGAAACTTGCAGGTCCTAGGAGTCAGCTAAAAAGCTAGCTGGACAAGCCTTTCGCTCTTTGAGCAGAAGCGAAGTGAGACATTGTGAGCTTGCCAGCCTTGCAAAAAATTGAAAGGGACCGAATTTGTAGCACAGAGGGGTCTTTTTTAGCTCTGCATATAATTAGTCCAAACACAAAGGAAGCAACTGAATGGAGGTTGTCACTCTCTGGAAAAGGGTGGGTAAGACACTTTTTAATTAAATTCTTTCATGAAGAAAGATTTTTTTTTCTTTGCTGCAGCATTTAACATGAACAAAATCACTATCATTTTACCTTTGAATGTCTGTGAACTTTAATGCTGCACAGCTCCTGCATGCTGTAAAGTGAAATATTTGCCTCTGTGTTTGTTCTGTTTGCTGTTTTGCTTTGGTTTTCTGGCTTTGTTTTGGGTTTTTTTTTTTGTTTTCCCTTAAATAAAATATGATGTAGAATTTGAAAAGATTCAATGGACATTCTCAAGCATATTTGGAAATATTCTTGCTAATGGATTTCCTTCTTATTGGTCTCTGTTTAAACTGGCTGCTGAGGAAGCCCCCGGGGTTGATATTGTGTACGCTGGGTATCTTTTCTAAAATGCTTCCAGCCGTGAATAGTGGGTGTCCACAGCTATGTCGGTGTGAGGGCAGGCTTTTGTACTGTGAATCACTGAATCTTACAGAGATGCCTCGCAACCTGTCGGGCATGATGGGCTTGTCTCTGCGGTACAACAGCCTTTCAGAGCTGCATGATGGACAGTTCACAGGGTTAATGCAGCTCACGTGGCTCTATCTGGATCACAATCACATTTGCTCAGTGGAGGGGAATGCCTTTCAAAAATTGCGGCGAGTTAAAGAGCTCACCCTGAGTTCCAACAAAATAACCCAACTGCCCAACACCACTTTCCGACCCATGCCAAACTTGCGCAGTGTGGATTTATCATACAACAACCTACAGTCTTTGGAGCCTGACCTGTTTCACGGGCTGAGAAAACTAACAACTTTGCACATGCGGTCAAACGCCATCAAGTTCGTGCCAGTGAGAATTTTTCAGGACTGTCGCAGCCTGAAGTTTCTAGACATAGGATACAATCAGTTAAAGAGCCTGGCTCGAAACTCTTTTGCAGGCTTGTTCAAACTCACTGAGCTGCACCTCGAGCACAATGACTTGGTGAAGGTGAATTTAGCCCATTTTCCCAGGCTCATCTCCCTGCACTCTCTCTGCTTGCGAAGGAATAAAGTTACCATCGTAGTAAACACTTTGGACTGGATATGGCAACTTGAAAAAATGGATCTCTCCGGCAATGAAATCGAATACATCGAACCTCACGTTTTCGAAAGCGTACCTCACCTCAAATCCCTGCAGCTGGACTCCAACCGGCTGACCTACATTGACTCCCGTGTCCTCGACTCCTGGAAGTCCCTCACTAGCATCAGCCTTTCTGCAAGCGCCAGGGATTGCAGCCGTAACGTTTGCGCCCTGGCCTCCTGGCTGAGCAACTTCAAGGGTCGCTACGACAGCAATCTGCTCTGTGCCACCCCTGAGTACGCACAGGGCGAGGATGTTTTGGACGCGGTGTACGCTTTTCACTTGTGTGAAGACGCGGCAGACCCAACGAGTGTTAACACCCTCTCCCCGGTAACGAACAACAGCGACCAAACGTTCAGCTACGGCTCTGCCACCGCCACGTACGACGTGCAGGACAGCGAAGGGGACCAAACGACATACGCCATAACTGTGACCATGCCCGGCGAGAACTCGGAGAACGCCGTTCAGATTCACAAAGTGGTGACGGGGACCATGGCACTGATTTTTTCCTTCCTCATCGTGGTTTTAGTGTTGTACGTCTCCTGGAAGTGCTTTCCAGCCAGCTTAAGGCAACTAAGACAGTGCTTTGTAACACAGCGCAGAAAGCAGAAGCAAAAACAGACCATGCATCAAATGGCTGCCATGTCAGCCCAGGAGTATTACGTTGATTACAAACCCAACCACATTGAGGGAGCCCTGGTGATCATTAATGAGTACGGATCTTGTTCCTGTCACCAGCAGCCAGCGAGGGAATGCGAGGTGTGATTTTCCTTGGGGATTTAAACAGTGTGCAACCAAATAACAGCGTGCAGGGAGGCAGTGGCACGGGGTGGGGGGGGGGGTTGCTGTGCTTTGCTGGTGATTTCTGACGTGCTCCTCTGCCAAAATTGTTAAGAGGGGCTGTCTAAAAGACTTGATATTTTAGCTTTATCGTGTCTTAAAAATCTTCAGGACAGTCAATCTTAAGATTTCATATGCTAATACTCCCTTTGAAGATCTGTCAATATTCAGGAATCTGAGAGTGTAAAAAGGTACCAATTATTGATCTTTTGTAAACTAAGAAAACTGTTTAAAATAAAAAAAAATAGCATTTACAGTTTTTACAGACTGGTGTATATTACATGAATTGTTCCCTGTATACAAAATGCAACAGTTCAACCTCTTTTTCTCTTCATACTGAGTGTTGAAATGAAAGTTTAGGAGCAAAGAAGCCACGTAAAATAGCAAGCTTAAAATTAACCAGATGGCTTCGCACTGTAATTAGTACACATTCACTTACATCATGTTACTGAAGATATGAAGCATGACACTGGAATTATATTTTTGTTAATGTGCTACCTGTAACTGGATGTCAGTACAACAAGGAGCCAGTGCACCTCAGAAAGGCTAAAGTTTTGACCGTGTCCCTGGGACAGGATTTCTGAGGATTTTTAAGTACAGCTCACTTGTTAGTTGCCGTAAGATCCACAAAAACTGCATCATAACCCCTAAAAGCATTTTGTATCAAAACTGATCATATTGCAAAGTCTCACTAAAAACCAACAAACAACAAAACCCAAAAATCTGAAACACTGCCAAGAAAAGTGCTCGTCATCACTTTCTTGAAAACAAAAAAGACCAAAAAATCTAAATTTAAGGGCTTTTACTAGCGCTTCCTACTTTTATGCTTGTTCTGAGATATGCTAAGAGCAAAGAAACCCTTGCTTTGTGCACTGTGGTGCCATGGTGAATGGAGAAGAGTAAAAGCTAATCGGTTCTCGGTGGTGAAACCTGTGTGTGTTTCAAGAGTAAAACCTCGGCTGTAACAGTGTCAGAGTAAGACAGAGAGTTATTAGAGCATACTTCTGGGTCCTGTAGTAAACTGCTAGCAAAGCCTATCTCCTGTCCCTCACTTTCACCACCAGCCTTCACTAACAAAACAACTCTAAAATCTCTGCAGAGGCTGGAAGTATACGAGCCCTCCTTATTAATGACTGATAAATGGAATTGATGGATATAAGCAGTGATTTAATAATGTCGAATCACACAGCTGTTTTATCTGACTGCCCTTAAATAAAGGCTTCCTTTCCTTGTATTTTGGATTTTTCATTCCAGTATGTGAACAACCTACTGAATGATCTGTTCAACAACTCCTCTCATACTAATGAAGATGAGGTAGTTTTATAACATCAGGCAGAGCATCTTGAAATTTTCTTCATACAGCATTACATGCTAATAAAATGTTACGGATAGTGAATAGGGTAACGTTTCTATGCTTTGTACATATTTCTCTATCCTTAGGTTACCACCAATAGAGGAAAAAATCAGAAATCTGACATATATTTTAATTTAACACAGTTTTTTTCTTTTTTATAGCATCAAACTGCCACCTACTCTTAAAAGGCTACAGCAGACTTATAAAGCAGAGAATAGGCACAGAATAAACCATTTTTTTTTCCCGCACAGCAGGTTTTAGTCATTAATTTTAAACATAAAGTGTGAATTTTATATTTTTTTCTGACTGACACTATTTTTAAGGAGTCAGAACTTATTTTCCTCTATTTGGTACATCTGAACCTGTTTAATATTAAATATGATGATAGCCTCTTAAACAAAAATTTTATTTACTGAGACTATAATGTCACCTGTGAAAGCAATGAGACTATGTATTGGGAGAGGGCTTTTTTCATAAGAAATTTAATGAAAATCAACTGCTTTTTTATTAAAGCCACTGAAAATTCACTCACAGCTTTGAAACAAGCTAGCACTGTTAAAACTAAGCTTTTCTCTCTTTAAATAAATGCACGTTTCTGTTTCTATGCTCAAACCCACACGGGCCTGATCCATCCTGAAACTCCCCAGTGACCTGAGGGGTTGAGTGTCCATGTATGAACCTAACAGTGAGGGCAGAGAGTAGGTAAGGAGCCCCCTGTCTCCTTGGGTGCCTGGTCATATTTTAAGAGAAAATACTTTCCGCCGTGCTAACTGAGGGCCAAACTGTATGCATTTTCCCCATTAAACCCTTCTCTGAAATCAATAGGGAATTTAACTGTGAAAAATTGGCTCTCTAAATTTGGACTACATTATATGTTCCTCAAATCAACATGCAGCACTGCAGCCAGAAGGACTGCTTACAGCTAGTTGCCAGGAAGCTTCCAAAACCAACCAAGATTGTTAAGATACTCTCTGCATATGGTGAAAAAAAAATATATATTTATATATGAATTAGCTTTATTTCTATAGCGATCCCCTGTTGCTATAAGGAAATGTATTAGTTCAGTCATGGTTTTGCCCCTGTAAATCTGATGCAAGACTGGTACCGACAACCAGTCATCCCGTGGTTGTATTTCTATGTATTTTTAGCATATTTGTGGGTTGTATTTTAAACACACTAGTGATTGCACCGCTCTGGAGTTATTCCT